GGTTTGGGAATCTATACATAGAACTAACAAATATCATAACAGAAAACACCTTAAACAACAGTTACTTTCCTTTCTTTTTCTTTTTAATAAATATCAGTGCTAGTGGAGTCTTGAAATGCTAGTGTCCACCAAGGTGGACTGCAACAAGTCACAGGGTTTCTAGTAATAGAATATTTAGTCACAGTGTTTTTTCCTTTTCATAAATATATAGACTCACAATTAAATTTATGTACATAAGCCTGTATTAATGAATAAATAAAAACTCAATGGCAAGGCTTCGCCAGTTAAAAAAAAAATTACTTTCAATAATTTTATATTCTATTGCAATCAATTGCAATACTTTGGGAAAAAGTTCATTATATTCAATATATATTTTATTAGGAAATATATTAACTTGGAGGCACAATAAACTGGATGCAAAACAACTACTAGGATATTTACTAATAATCAAATCAGAAAATATAATAGAAAAACAATCACAAAATTTCGAAAAAATTGTGCATGAAACATTTTACAAGTCTTTGGAGATCTTACTTGAGCCACCAATTTCAATAAAAGATGAAATCGATTTTTTAATGGGGATAAAATTGTTCAATTTTTTCCAAAAATATCTATAATTATAGCTAACTGACCTGAAGCTACATCCTTTTGTTTAACTTATAAATCAAGTAATAAAACAATTCTTTTCATTTTTGCTTAATTACAAAAGACAATCTTGCAAAAATAAATTTATCAAAAAGTAATATAATATCCTAGAGTCATAAAATATAAAAGAATTGTTTCAATCAAATCTAACAAAATCAGTATCAATAGAAAATGTTAATAATTTTTTTTGAAGTATTCTGTAAGTTTTTATAGTTTTTTTAAATAATTTATTTATTATAGACTAAATTAATTTTTATTAATTTATAGCGATATAAATATATATGAAACAACTGTATCCAATAGAATACATTATCTTGATCTTAATCTTTTTCAATATTAAATTGAATATACCTGGGAGTTATTAAAAGAGTTTTGAGGTCTTTTACTATTAAATGAAATGGATCGAAAACTTGCAAAAATTCCAAGATTTCTGGAATTAAAGATTTTTTCACATAACATTCAATCCATTGCAATATTAACTGCAGATAAATATAAAAATATAATAAAAGTTATGATTTTTGTAATAGATAACATACATTATGTGATGGAAATATATAAAATATAGATATCAAAGAATTACCAATAATTTATCAAAAATAGAATGAAATATATATTCTTGGTAGATATGAGAAGTTCTCTGAAAGCGATTTAAAAAAATTTAAGTATAATATAGTTGTTTAAATAACTATGTTATAAAATTTCTAAAATATATATTATAATAGGAATCTATAAATTCTTGGGCGTGAATATTTATAAAAACTTTTAAAAATTTTTTAGCTTCACAGTTAAAACTTTTAAAATTACATTTATGGATATATTATATAGTTCTATTTATTCAAAAATATGGAGTTATTAATGGATTTACTTTGGATATCTATGAAAGTCTTCATAAAGAATTTGTTAAACAATCATATTATTTAAGTAATAAAAAAAATATTGAGAATCAACTAATACAAAAAGTAAGTTTGTAATAAGATTAACAAATTTTAAATATCTAATATTATTTTATATTATATAGAATCGAAGAAATTTAATAATTAATAAATTTTCGCAAAGCTCTAAGAAACTTTTAACAACTCCAAAGACATTTACATTTTCAAATAAACTTTGGGAATTCAATTCAAAAAATTTAAACAATACCTTAAATGAAATATTTCAAAAACTCTTAAAAAATGATGAAACTTTTATATTAGAATTCAAAAATCTTGAAAACTCTTTAAAACTATATTTTAATTCTTCAAATATTTATATAAATAATTTTATATTAATGATTTTTAGAACAGTTATAATAAAAAATAGTAGTATTATCTGTGTATCTAATAATTATTATAATACCTTATAGTTTAGTAATGTATCAGTTAAAATGAATTTTGAAGAACTTTGTAACTATATAACAGATGGTGAGATCTATTATGGAAAGGTAAATATAATTATTAAAAATATATTTATTATTTTGATTTAAAACTAATATATTTTTAGGTTTTATTAATATTAAAGCTTAGCAAAAAAATTCAAAGATCTCCACTTCGATTGGTATTAGTACAATAGTTTGATTTTAAATTGAAAAAAACTTCATATATATATAAATGTGCATATCTTAAATTAACAAATATAAATAATTTAGTAGATATAGAAACAATAGATAATATAGTTCATATAATTCCAAGATTTGATAAATATAACAAATATTTATTAAATAATTATTTATTTTAATATACATATTATCACTTAGAATATTTCTGAAGTTTTTTAAAATAAAAAATATTCGAAGTTTTGTATTATTAAAATTAATGAAATTATTTTTGTTTCACAAATTTTTGAAAATTTTGAAAGTTTTTCAGAGTTTTTTTCAAAAATTTTTGAAAAATTTTTATCAAGTGAAGATCTCTGGAGTTCTTCATTAAAAAAATTTCCTGATGAAGTTCCTATTGACTACCTCACATGTCTAAATTTATTTCCTTATTTTTATAAGAAACTGGAGTCTATTATAAGTTATATATATTGATACAGACAAATATAAAACATAATATTAATATATAATTGGGTACAAAAAAGAGTTTATTCATTACAGCAAAGGTTACAAGATGCTCAATTATCTTTTTTTCAAGTCAAAGCCACCTACAGTATATTCTAATTGTATATCAGGTAGATTTCAATCTCTATTGCTCAGGAAAATCTAAACTAAAGAAAGTATGAAGCTATCAGAAATACTTAATAGTAAAACTTATGTGTAAAGCAATCTAGAAAGTTTTCATCATATTTTCAAAAAATCTCAAAGTGGAAAATTGAAAGACTAATATTATTTCACTAATCAAAACTTGAGTTCAAAAATGTTAGCAATGACATGCGAGCCAGCTAGATAATCTGAGAGATCCTTGTTGATAATTAACTTTAATGGCCACTAGCAGGATATGTCTACCATGAAGCTAGGTGCTGTTCTTCTTATAAGAAATTAAATCTGAAATAAGATGTACAGATGGACGAATACATCCATATTTAGATAAGAATGGGTTTAATTGATAATATACTGGAAGACTTTCAAGTTACCCATGTGAATATCAATATATAACCTGAGTCTTCCTGATTACTTTCTCCCTATAAGCATTAAAATTGTAAAGTCCCCTTTTGGCTTTCAACCTATCTCTGTAAAGATCCTATATAAATTTCTTTTCCCTCACAGGAGGAATTAGAACAAGACAGGCATGTGCCAAAAAACAAGATCAACACTTTCTCAGAACTGTACATAACTGTTCAATTTTCATTTTTAGTTTCTTTTATTTTTATTTTTATGACACCAGCATGCTCAATGGATGTTAGTTTTTTTTTTGGTAAAAGAAAGGGCAATAAGCCTCAAAGTAGCTTTACGAATAGCTTTACTTATCATTATCTTATATTTTTTTTCGATTGAAAGTTATTCTAACCTCATAAAATGCATAAAGTTAATTACTAGAGCAACTTCCGCTTGAACTAATACCATTCATTCTAAGGTATCTTTCAGTACAGGATCTAAAAAATTCTCGCAGCATAAATAATATATGGGAAAGAGAGGTAAGTCTTGAATTGCCCAAAAGAAAAACTCTCTGGGATTTTAAAGTTGGGAAATCGGTTCAAGGCAATGATACGGTAAAAGACTTTTATTCGAAACTAATAGAGTGCACCAAAAGTGTGGGCTACCATGAAGAACGACTCAAATGCTATTTTTTCAGAGGATTATCAACTGAGAATATGTTTAAAGTTCTTATAGCTTGCGTTAGATGAGATAGTGGAAAGGCTTAGTCCGAGGCAGTAATCTACCAGCTCGGCTAATTCATTTTTTCGATTAAAGATACAACATACTGTATAATACAGACTATTTATGGCGCAATCAACTATTTTTATTATACCAGAACTATTAGAACAGATTTTATATTTTTAGCGATAGATAAATCCCTCTATCCCACTCTATTTGTTTCCCGATTGTGGTACAGATGCAGTGATCCTATTTTATGGAAACGCATTGAGCTAGATGGAGGTGGAGCAGAGGAACGATCTTATTTGGAAAAATTTATAAGATTAGTACGTAGGAGACGAAGACTGGTATATAGCTCAAAACTATCTCATCTTAAAATGTCTGATTTCAATTCGGTCTCTAATGAGATCATCAAAGGTATTATGCACATGTTCCCAAATATAATCTATTTAGATTTTGGAGAAAGTATAAAGCCCGAGTCTATTGGTAAAGTTCTAAAGTTAATAGCAGAATCATACCCAAATTTGAAGTATCTCAATATATCCACTTTATGCAGTAGTTTGCAGAAAATGATGAAGGTCTATGTGCAATCGCAAATTCATGTTATAAATTAGAATGTCTAGATATTTCTAGACGCAGAGTTTTCTGAAACATCAATTCGTGATGTTATTTGTTCTTTCCCAAGGCTCCAACATCTCGGCCTTAGCTTTTGTTATATTACTGATATAACTATCAAAGAAATTACTGGTTCATGTCTTAATTTAAGCTATCTTGACTTAAAAGGATGTTATAATATTAGCGTAAAAGCCATAGATCAGCTTATGTCACTTAACCCAAATATTCACGTTAAGAATTTTGTGGATACTAGAACAGCCTATGATTTTATCGGAGTAGTTACAAATCATCTTACCCAGAACAACAATGCTAGTAGACAGATTTTAGCTCGGAGCCCTCAGGGCCTTTTAGAACGAGATAATTTGCAGTGATATTCCGATCTAGGGTTGGCTAGATCAATAGTCCGGAGTGATGATCATTGGTTCGGAAGATTTTTTTGCATCTAGATATGCCCTATGTGACAAAAAATATAGATTAGCTAACCTGTTCTAGACATGGGCATTGACCGACATTAGACTAATATTTCGTGCAATTGTTGAGGGGTAAGATTTGGAAATAGCGAATGCCCCTCTTCAGTAACCCGAATTTTCTCTATTCTCATTTCACCATATTTCAGTAATATCACAACTGGATCATCTTCTAAAGGACCGTGGAATTCCTCAAGCTTTTTGAGATGTGCTCTTATGTTTTCATCAACTGTTTTCGCCCTTTCTTGATTAGAATAACCAATAATGCCGAGTTCATTCTGAATTACTATTATTTCCTCTTCCAGGTATAAAAGTAAATTATATATTTCTCCATATGAAATATCCTTAGAAGCTTTATAACTCCTAAGTTCCACTTCTAGGATGGGACTGCCTTCGATATTGAGTTCCTCCTGTATTGGTAACATATCTCCCACCAAGTCTAAAAACAACTCATATGAATCGGCAAGTGTTATCTCTTCCTTTCTTTGATGCACTGCTTCTTGATTTGCTTTGGCATTAATACCGAGTTTTTTCTGAATAGCTATTATATCTTTCTTCTTATATAAAAACACTTCATATATAATTGATCAAGAGATTCTTTCGTAAGAGTATTGTTATTCACCATGTTTGCTAATAGTAAAGTAATATTATTAATGTGAAAAATTTTACCGAAGGTGCCTATGGCCGAGTCCGGAATGCTGATCATCAACCGGAGCAGTGATCTTCAGTTCGGAAACAAAAATATGTGGATCATCAGCCAGGTCTCGTGCAACATATTAATTTTCGCATATATTCGAAAAACATATTAGCCCTTTATTCTTTATTCTTTCCCCGAACAAATGTGAGAAAATGTGAAAGGGTGTCTAGTTGCAACACAGGACCAGCTCCATAAGTAAATAGTGACGACAAAAGCATATGTTGTGAAAGGCTGAGAACTTTGTAATTTCGAGATTGCCAGAGGCAATAGCAATAGGCCTTAGCCACGAATTATATTCGCAATTTTATGTATTGTAGGCCGACTTGGTCCCTCTAGGACCCTACCGGGAACATTTTTTATTTCATAAATAAAGTATTATGTACATGAGAAATAGGTCACGTGTAATGATGTAATGTCTGTGCGACATAAAAACCTATATTAACACTTGTAAAATTCTGACGTAACACGTATTTTTTTATCCAACCCAAATATTCCTATAAAAGCGCCATGTCTATTATCACTCTTAGCTGTTTGGTCGTAGGCGAAAACCCTTATGAAAATGCTTTCGCAGTTGAAATAGATAAAACGAAGCTAGTTAGTTTTTTCAAGAAAGCTATCAAGGAGGAACTTCACCCTAAGTTTGAGAACGTTTCCCCTAACGACATTAAGCTATGGAAGGTCGACATTTCCTTCGAAGAAGAAAACAAGAGACTTGAGCTCGTCAACACAAAAATTAACGTTAATATCACGGAGGAGCTTTGTGGTGAGGAACTTCTACCTCTTTCGAAGATTAGCAAACACTTTCCCTCTCAGCCAGCCGACGAACACATACATGTCATCGTACAACGTCCTGTTGAGACGAAAGAAGTTCACTGCACCGCAACGTATGGGCGTAAGAGCGCGAATTTTCAATGGACAGTGACCCGAGAAACGGTGACATTGGAAGGTTTTAAGAAGAAGCTTCGTGAATATTTCACATTTCCGGATGGAACGGAAAACGAGCATATCGTAATAGGCCGTGTAATAGGCGGTGCTGGCTTGAAGAGAAAAATTTCAACAGGTAAGACCAGGCCAGTTCAAGCTCCCAGAGTGCAACGGTGGAGAATGCGACAGAACGTAAAATTATTCAATTTTCTGCTGACGAAGATTTATTGAGCATCATCTGGACTGTTGATCCCAAGGTGGATCTGGAAATAGTTGTGGATACGTGTAAAGTAAGTAATATCAAGTTATTTAGGATATTCACGTGCCGATTCTATCAAATGTCTGATTAATTAATTTATGCATGGCTGTTTTTATAGCGCAACAACCTTTCTCTTCGTATACTTTCCCCAAGATGAAGGTTCTTTTCGGTTTGAAGGCTGATAGCTATGATCAATTACCATTTATTGAGATTGGAAGTTCGGCAACTCCAGAAGAGATCAGGAACAGTGTGATTGAGGATTTTTTAAGAATGCACAAGGCATCCCCACCAATCACTAGCGCGAATGAGGCCACCCGCTGTGAATTTATTTCTGCGATCATATATGGTGTGGCGTCCATCTTCGATGGTACTTTAAAAGTTTATCCCCAGCATGAAGTCTCTGGAAGTAATGGAAAGGGACCCATAGATTGGGTGATCAAAATGGGAGATACAATTATTTCTGTAACTGAAGCAAAACGAGAAGATATTAACCAAGGTGTTGCCCAGAGCACTGTCCAAGCACATGCATCTCTTCAATGTAATCGCAAAAAGCGTACTTATGATGATGCTGATTTATATGAAGGTGCAATGTACTGCATTGTCTCAACGGGTATGTTTGTAAAACAAATTCGAAAAAAAATATGACCTGAATTATTACTAACTCTTTTATTTGATACCCAATTTCAGGTGTCGACTGGGTAATAACAAAAGTCCAAAGTGGTAATGGAGATGGGAATGATAATGGTAATGGGAACCCGGTCGAAGTCATTATCCCGCAATGACCTAGCTGGACCTATCGAGAAATTATTTGGGCAAATCAAATGGGTTTTTGATCAGCAAAAATCATCATTGGTAGATGGAAAGCGGGTAAAAACAGAATAATAGGATAGAGTATTGACATAGACGTCATGTATCACGTAGTGATGAATAAATGGTTCGGTTCTAATCAGCTAACTTATTTAAGTTGTAACAATAAATGGCTTGGTTCCAACTCTTCAAAGCTATTAAGCCGAAATAGAGCCGATTAAATCATGACCAATTAAATATTTTTTTTAATTAACATAAATTAATTAAACGTTTTTTAAAATTATATGTATACGCATAATATTCCACATTATTCATAATCTGTATTACAGACAGGAAAGTATTTATGGAAAGGATGGAACAATTATGTCATCAGTACTTGTTTTTTCGCTGTCCAATTCCTATCTGACTCTTTCGTGTAGCTCACCCACTCCCAAAGAAGTGTAAAGGGGAAAAAGAGACCGCGATCGGCAATCTACGCGTATTGTATTGAGATCTATAATAATGCCAATTTCTTTGATTCCCCGGATTTCTCAGATTTCTTGAATAATAAAAATTCTGTAGATAATTTTAAAACGGTAGATTTTAGAGATACTGTATTAGCGATGGATATATATATATTTTTTTTATTCTTATTATCCAAATGATTATATTAACAATGAGTTATATTAATTTGTAAACTTATGTGACATTCTAAAAATGTATAAAAAGAGTATGTCTCAATATTCTAATAAAACTCGGTGATGGTTAAACTAGTGAATGCGACACAGATTATGCATTGGAGTTTTGTTAGCTCACTCGACTGTATTTGATTTTGATTGTCTTGTTCATGACGACATTGTTAAAGTCAGATTAAACGTATGATTAAAAGTTTGTTTGATAACTTTATTTTTTTGTGAAAAAAGGTTTAGGGCGAGTAAGAATAGAACATGATAATGGGCGAAATGGGATTGCTTGGGCAACATCCTCTCAACTTCCTAAAATGCGAATTGACAAATATGTAAATTAAAGTAGATGTAATAGTAAGACACATATTTATGAATACTGTAGTTCATCATGTATAATCCCAGTTCTTGTTATTCTTAATTTAATATAAGTTACAGTATATTAAATTAAATATTTGTTTGACTTTTTAATTTATAGTTAATATTGTTATATTAAAATATTTATTGATACATAGGCAAAACTTAATTAAATAATATAATTTATTACATATAAAAATCTGAATTGGATTGATTCGGATAATTCTGACAATACAATACCTTCAGAATTTTCAGACGATGATTCTGAAAATTGCTCTAATAATGATATCGAACCAGAAAATATTGAGTTAAATGATGAAAAAATTACTGACAATATTCAAGATCATACAACAACACAATTCAAAAAATGAAAGAAATCATCAAAAGTTTGGATTTATGTAGATTCAGAAATGCGAAAATGCTATACCTGTAATACTAAATTTGCGACATCTACATCAACTTCAACTATTCAAAAACATCTCGATGAACATTCAACTTTAATAACAAATGAAGATCAATTGACACTTAAACAATATCATTCAGCTTCGACTCAAGAAACCAAGACAAATTTTGTAATTAAATGGATAGTAATTGACATGCTTCCATTTTCAATAATCGAATCAGATAATTTTCACTTAATGGTTAATTCTTTTGATCCATTATATCAAATTCCAAATTCGAAATACAATAATTTCACAATTTGAGCAATGACGTGGAAAATTATCAGATTATCTTTCAAAAATTCCTGGAAAAATTAGTATAACTGCTGATTTTTGGACATCAATTAGATACAAAGTATTTTTAGGAATACTGTAACAATTCATTATATCGTGGAAAATTATCAGATTATCTTTCAAAAATTCCTGGAAAAATTAGTATAACTGCTGATTTTTGGACATCAATTAG